AAACTTGTCAGAAACTGAGAGCCATAATAATTTTTTCCCACTTTATTTTGCGTTTGTTTATTACTTAAAATCCCGATGAGCAAATTAAGTTTCTGAATTTCCCTTTTTTTCTCAATGCAATTGCTCATTTTATAACCTTGTTCAATTTTTGTCAGTGTCATCCATTATCTTGCCAGCAACCATATCTTAACTTGGCCACAGGGGCTTGGGAATTGGTGGAAGACACCCGCAGTGTTCACTTATTGATGTACTGATCAGCCTCTGGATGTTCACATTCCTGGCATGCCTGCAGTGGTCTTCCATTCAAACATTTACACCTTTTTTTGGGAGCTTTCACAATCTCAAGCTGGATCTGGAGGGGCACACTTGTCCTGTCATAAGCACTTTTCCATCTTTTGTTTTTGTGAAGTTGCAACCATAAATATTCCATTATTTTTCATAACATTTTATGTCATAAACCAACACAAACCTGTGCATAGTTAGAAGGATGAGGGAAATGATGAGTGGTTTCAAACAGTTTTTAATGACAAAAATCTCAAATGTATAGCAAGTGGGGGGTTTTTTCCAGTTAGCTGCAATAATTTAAAGTTTTCCTGATATATCTCCACCAGCTTTTAACATTTAGAGACTAACATTCTTGCTTTTCCATTTCAAGTTTCATGTTATTTGCTGCCTCAAACAGGTTCCCTTGGCATTTTTTAATAGCTGCTAATGAAACATATGACCACAGTCTAATACTGCCGTCACCATGCTTCAAAGAGAGCTAATGTATTTGAGAAAATGTGCATTTTTTTCTTGCGTGTGCACGGAGTCCAATAAGTATGCTGTAGTTCTGCACAGAGTATGCCTTTCCATGTTTGCTGCGTCGCCTCCATGGTTTGTAGAACTTCAAGCCGGACTTTTTGCGGTCTTGGCTTTCTTCTTAGTCAATGAGTCGATGCAATCAGCTGGTTTCCCTTAGATAGAAAACTTTGAACCAGGCTGACTGTATGATCTAGTTGAATTGTCTCTGCAGAGTGCCTTGAGATGACATGTGCTATGAATTGATGCTATATAAGTGATCTGAACTGAATTGGATTGATTCTTGGTTGTATTTGACTTTATTTTGGCAATGGCAATAAAAAGTGGCAAAATTACAATTACAAAAACACGAAAAAAATCTTTTTTTTTGTTTTATTTGTTTAACAAAAAAAGACAACCACATCTTTTTCACTTTACAAACACGTGTTACAATGTTTTATAGTAATGAATAACAAAATAAAAGCATTTCAGGAGGTCTTACCTTGATGACTCTCCCGACCTCCTCGCTGTTGGAGATGGTTATATTGTACGCCTCTGTGTGTTGCGGCGTAGCCTCCTTTGGCCTCTTTCTCTCCTTCTTGGCTTCCACTCCGTCCAGAAGGATGCACTGAGTCCAAAACACTGCAGCCACCACTGCCAGGCAGCCAGCTCTACACCTCATTTTCACACTTTAAATCAGCACCAAGGGGCCTGAGAAAAAGTTTGCAGGGTGCTTTAGGACCAGTCACGTTTTTTTGTTTTTTCACAGAAGATGAAGACGCGCACAAGGCCAACAAACACCAAAAATAACTGAGTTTCAGGATGTCCTTGTTCACAAAGTTCTCAGACTGAATGCCACTGTTGTGTTCCTCCCCTCTTGATGAGGTCCCAGCCAGCACAGCCTTGCAAGGGCACTTTGTAGCCAGACAGCAGAGGAGGCTTACTCAACTATGAAATGTGTGAAGCAGAATGGTCCAAGGGAATGACAGAGCTGTGCAGAACTGACAGCAAATAAAGCCATTAGTGAGATTTTTCACGCTTTCTGCTCTGTTGGGGGGGAGGTGAGGTGTTTGAGGGAGGGCACAGGGGGCAAAAGAGGAGAGTGAGGGAGCAAGAGAGAGAGCGGGGGTGTCCAAAGCAGAGGGTGGGAGGTAAGAACTGCTGGGAATGGATGATTTACTTCTCTTTTTTTCCCCCTTCACGCTGGTTTTTACACTGGGAAGACGTTCCTGTTTGTTCCAAAGTTAAACAGAGGTCTGCTGGGTGGGAAGGATGCAGGATCCAATGAAATTAAGTTTCCCAAAAATAAAAGAAAAACTGCAGGTTCAGCATTTAAATCAATGAGTTTAAGGTCCAGAATTACTCTTTTGAAGCTTCTTTTTCTTCTCCTTGAAGAGCTAGTCCCTCCTGTCTGACTCCACAATAAACTCAACAGGTAGCAGATGCCTGACGCCGTGCAGGTACTGCTTGCTGCTCCAACAAGTCAAGGTGCAGACAGCCTCAGAGTCTTTCTGCCTGCCCCACTGCACTCCCTGTCCCTTTTTTTTTACAATCTGGTCTGAGTCGCTCCTTTGCTCTGAGCCTACAGGAGGGCTCACATTGGCGTTTTATCATCTCCCATCCTCCCTCCCCCGTCCCCTTCTCTCTCTCTCTCTCTTTGGTTTGCCTCTCTGCTGGCAACCCTACAAGCTTATTCAGCTCTGTTTTATCTCATAGAGGAAAAGTTCTCTGGCAGACAATAAAGTTGTGTGTTGCTTGTATAAATTATTGTATCTGTCATTTGTACTCAGTATTAGCTTACTCTTCCAACTCTTGTTTAGATCTGGGATAAAAATAGAAACAGATTCTTTTTAGTTGCCTTAAGAAGCAAACATTTGGATTTTGTTGTTTGGAAGAACTGTCTAAAGGTTGAAGATGGAAGCATATTCAATATGCTTTTCACCATGCATACTTACTGTTTTTAATCCCTAAGAATAGCTATGGGAACTTTAAATGTGAAAAAGGCCAAATTTTCATGAAATTGAAAGCATATCATCTCTAATCTTGAAAAATGTTATATTGTTCAATATATTATTAAATTGTTATATTGTTTTTTATATATATAAAAGTATATATATCTATATATCTCTCTCTCTCTATATATATATATATCTATATCTATATATATATAGATATAGATATATATATATATATATGTATGTATTGAACATTTCTTATATGCATTGGTTTACAGTTATAAACTTTTAGGCAGCCTTTCCTGTTTGCTAATGTGGTGTTAAATTTGAAAACAGTGACATCTAGAGGAGGCCAGTGGAAGTACCGTTCCGACGCTGCGTCTTTACTTCCTGCATCTGCTGGCACAGCTGTGAGAGACGCAGTAAGCTGTACAAAATGCCAAGTTTTAACCCAATATAACTCCGGAAGCAGTTTATATTTATAAATAAATAGCACACCAAATAAAAATAAAAAAAATCCAATCAGCTATTTAATGAAGATACTCTATACCCTATAGTAATTAGTTTTTTTTTTCAGTTAATTCCTTCTTATTATTTAATAATTACACTTTAATAACAATAACTACTGTGACAAATCGCATGACTTTTTTTCTTCCTCTTGTGTAAATCAATAAATATAATCATGATTTAATTTCCTCCATGTTAATCTTCTTCATAGAAGCTGTAATAAAATTATTTGCTTTAATGCAATCCCTGAAATGGAGGAAGCATTAAGCGAGAGAAATTAGGCTTTTAATAGAAAGAAACATGCAGCATCTCATGTGTCCAGCTTGGTGAGGCAAAACACAAGAAATGGCAGTGATGGCTCAGTTAGAGGAGCTGCTGATGAAAGACACAGTAAACAAGAAAAAAAAAAAAAAAAAGCATACACTAGTGTCTAGAGCAAGGCTCTGCAACCTGCAGCTCTGGGGCCACATGTGGCTCTTTGTCCTCTTCAGCATGGCTCTAACCAAAATGAATAATAAATTAGTTTAATAAACAAGGAAATAGTGTTTATCATGCAATGTCTGGATATATTATCATTCGATGCACATCAGCAGTGGAAAGAAAAGTCATAAAACATATAGAATTTTTTTTTTTAGCTTTAACTATCTGTCTTATATTTTAGGTGGGCTGAGTTTCATTTTTTTGGTTTTCATATTTAGGGTGCCTCTATAGCTTGACCTATTCTATATATACCCCTCGTGGGGTGGTATGTGTCATCCTCAAGTCCGGGTCCCTGCCCAGTATCTTAGCTGTTCCTAGGACTGCACCCTTCTGGACAGAGACCTGTGATGTTTTACCTGGAAACTGCTGTAGCCACTCTCCCAGTTTTGGGGTCACAGCCCCCAGTGCTATATATATGTATATATATCTATATATATATATATATATTGCAAAATGTTAAATAGTAATTTTTCTTGTAAATTCTAAAAATAGAAAAGCTTAGTTTGATTTCCTTGGCTGTCAACATTTGTGAAATCTTTATTATGGCTCATGGCTCATTTTATTATGTGATCTTGTGGCAAAGGTTTATCTAAATTTAAAAGGTTACAGACCCCTGCTATTGAGAAAGAACAGAGAACAAATATTTAGTGATCTAAGAT